CACTCTCTTCTCTCTCGCCGCTATACCGAATCCGAATGGCCGCCGCTACCATCACCAGGAAGCTCCCATCTCTCTCCGGCGACCTTCATCACCACCAGAACCCACTGGAAGAAAACCCCTTCTTCCACCCTTCTAATGGCTTCTACATCACTCCTTCCGACGTCGTTCTCGCTCAGGTCGTCTACGATCTCTCCGCCGATTCCCAGCCACGCGTGGCCTACCACAGGGCTGGACCTCGCCGGGAGATCCTGTACGAAGCATCGGCTGTAAAAGCGGCGATCGTGACTTGCGGAGGTCTGTGCCCTGGCATGAACACGGTCATTAGAGAACTCGTTGTGGGTCTGTGGGAGCTTTACGGTGTGAGGCAGATTTATGGGATTCCTGCTGGTTACAGAGGCTTTTATTCCATGGAACCCGTCGAGTTAAATCCCAAGCTTGTTCATGACTGGCACAAGAAAGGCGGCACTGTCCTCGCCACTTCCCGTGGTGGCTTCAATCTCCAGAAAATCGTCGATGCCATCCAACTCAACGGTTACAATCAGGTACGTTTTACTCTGTTGATGATCTGATTTTTCCATTGCATTTTCCGATTTGAATCGTGCTCTGGCTTCTTCAATTGATTTCATGTTTCTAACGTCATCATGGGAAGTTGAAGTTTGCTCTTTTTGTCTCTATTGCCTCTGGGTCTAAATTGATTTCATGTTGCCGTGTATTGCCTCTAATGTCATTATAACGTAGAAGTTGAGTTTGCTCTTCGTTTTGTCTCGATTGATTGCCTCATCAGGTGTATATAATAGGAGGAGACGGCACACTGCGTGGGGCTGTGGAGATCTTCAAGGAAGTCAGCAGGAGGAAACTGGAGGTGGGAATCACAGGTATTCCTAAAACCGTGGACAACGATGTCGGGATCATTGATAGATCATTCGGGTTTCAAACGGCGGTAGAGATGGCTCAGGAGGCTATATCTGCTGCTCACGTGGAGGCTCAGAGTGCGGTCAATGGCATTGGACTAGTGAAGCTGATGGGCAGAAGCACTGGCCACATTGCACTACATTCCACTCTTAGCAACCGTGATGTGGACTGTTGTTTGATCCCAGAGATGAGCTTCTACCTTGAAGGCAAAGGAGGGCTGTTTGAGTTTCTGGAGCAGAGGCTCAAAGAACGTGGGCATGCCGTACTTGTTGTAGCTGAAGGAGCAGGACAAGAGATGATCCCAAGAAGCGAATCACAGAAACAAGAGCGGGATGAATCTGGCAATGCAGTTTTCTTGGATGTTGGTGTTTGGTTGAAGTCAGCGCTCAATGAATGGTGGAAGCGAGAGCATCCAGGCGAGCTGTTCACGGTCAAGTATATCGATCCCACTTACATGATAAGAGCTGTACCTGCAAATGCTACGGATAACTCGTATTGTACGCTGTTGGCCCACTCGGCAATCCATGGAGTCATGGCTGGTTACACAGGGTTCGTGCCTGGCCCAATCAATGGGAACTATGCTTATATCCCCTTAGAAGAGGTGGCACAGACTAAGAATGAAGTGAACACGAGTGACCCCAAGTGGGCGTGGGTGCGCTCAGTCGCAAACCAGCCTGATTTTGATAAGAAATTTTAAGGGGCAAACACCGTGAGACCTTTTGAGAAGATTAGATGCGAGGAAGAATGAGAGAGTGAAGCGAAGATCTTGTAAGCTAATAATAATGTCATTCATGTATATGACCAAACAATGCCAACTATCAAGGCAATGTTAGTTCGCGTTATCCAATGGTATCTGCTATATATGTATGTCTTTATCTAAATAACAGTAATTGTCAACATGGGAGCAACTGAAGGAGATTTGAATGTTGAACAATGCTTGATTTCTGGGCGTTCAGGTGAGAGTAGAGGGAAATGGGAAAAAGGTGAAACAAAAAAATGGGATCTTTAAACCCTCTCTATTAATAAGCACATTACTACGTATAATTCCATGGCTTAGGGTAGTTGCGGAATCGCTTTCTTGAGCATATAAGCAGAAGAAGAAGAATGCTTGGCAGGAGCTTGAGCTCTGCACTGTATTAATACAGATTATGCCACTTGACCATCGACGATCATCATCAATTCTTTTCAGGAGAGAAGAAAAAAAGGACCAGAAATCTGGTGAATGCAAGCAAACAAGAGACTGAATTTCTGTGGCCTAACACGTTTTGTCCACTACCTGTCTCTACTTATATGATGTTTATGCTCTGATCCTGTTCCTTTCCGCTCTATCTTCTTGGGGTCTGTATTAGATCTGATTTTCTCTTCCCTTTTGCTTCCTCCTTCAAGTACGTTCTTAGCTTTCCCTATAGAAGGTGTTTCAGCTGGACCTAGGTGAAGCTTGTGCATCATGCTGTGTTCATCCATGGGTGTCTGTTTACCTCTTGAGACAAAGTCTTGGCTCTCTGATTGACTTGATGCTCCCTTGGAACTACTCTCTTGGTCGAAGAAGAGAGCTTGCACGACAGTTCTTAATGGCATCCTCTCATTTTTKACAGCGTGTGCACGCACGTCTGGAGACAATTTCTGGCAGTCAAGACTTCTGCATAGTCGTTTTTTCTCTTCTTTGGTTATCTCGGGATGCCCCTGCATTGTAACCAACATTTTTCAGTTCCAAGTACTGTATGCATTTTCTATACATAAATATGGATGATCAACCATAGCTAGTATTCTGCGGGCCAGAGCATCTGATACCTTGAGGTATGTGTTGATTGCTTTGTAAAGTCTGTCGTGGCTCTCCCGTGCAATGTCGGGCACTGCATCAGCAAGGGACACGAATTTGGGAACTGGCATGTGGACATCTTGTGCGACTGCCTGAAGATAGGAGTCAATAAGCTTTGCTACCTTCCTGATTGAATGCAGCAACTGACTGTTACTAGAAAGATGCGCCGAAGATTGTCTTCTCCAGAGCACTAAAAAGCTCTCAAGAACTGCAGCAACCAAATCGGTATCATAGCGATGGACTTGAGAGGATGAGTGCGAAGGCAACAAGAGATCTGCAAGAGTAGCCTCTTCGAGTTGCAGACCAGCCTTTCTAATCAATTCAGTTTTTGTCGTGAGAGAAGCTCCCACATAACTTGCTATACTAACAAGTCTCAGCAAGAAACCCTCTGAAACCGACCCTTTATCTGCAGGAATCATATTCACAACTGTGTTAACAACACGCCGATACCTTTCCAGTGCTGCTTCATTTTCTTTAACAGAGAAACCTGAAGAGCTATTTGATTTGAAGAATGGTAACCAACGGCAGGTGTATACATGCAAAGCTTCACCAATGAGCTGAGGCGGCAGCGTGAAGCTAGACCTGGCTGCTGTGATGACACAGCGGAATAAGTCCAAGTCAAGGTCTGATATGTCCTCCGTCCACCAGTCTCTTGGAGCAGAGTGATGCTGTTTCTTTTCGTAGCCTGGTCTGGTGTATGTATGAGACCAGGAAACCTGTAAAAACGAAAAGAACGATTCAAATGGGGAGATGTCGTACAGGAACATCAATCCGAGGAGGACTCAAGAGTGTGAAAATGAGCAAAACCTCTGAAGTAGGAGTGAGGATCTTCTCCACAATCGAATCTATACACTTTCTTATAATTCCAAGATTCTCACACCATTCTGGCAATTTGGCAGTGGATTGCAAAGTGACAATGGAGTCTTTCCAGCCTTGGAGAACGCAGGAATGGAAAAAAGATTCAAGCTTCGGTAACAGATTTCCTTTCTCAACGGAATCAGACATCCGAAGAAACTTCGATGCGCAAAGGGCACTCACAAGGTTATGAGCACTGAGGTTGATGGTGATTCCATAGCAGAACTTAGCACACAGCTCAAACGCATCGGCTCCTCCAGGAACGTCATTCAACTCTATGGTAACACTATCAGACTCTTCTGAATCAGTGCAAAGCCTTCGCAAAAGCCCACATTTTGGAACAAGAAAAGACTGCAGACAAAGATGGAAACCAACTATAAGTCTATAACATGTATTCTTACATATATATATGTGTGTGTTGCTACGAGAATGTAATAGAATCAATCGAAACATTACTCTGTGGAGATGATAAGTGGTGTTGTTGATTCTTATAACGAGATCGTTGGGTGTGTCGGTAATCAAAAACCTGCAGTGTAAATAGCTTATCAGAGAGATGGCGATTTGGGAGAATCTAGAGGCCACAAAGATGGATGGATGAGGAAAAAACCTTGAAGCTTCTTGAGTGTAGAAAGTGTCAGGCTTTGTTCCGATTTTCATGAACTTCATCTTTAGACTTCTCTGCGTTTCAAGGGGAATCTATTATATCTATGATGAGAAAAGTGATCAAAAACTTTAAGTAAAAGGGGAATAAAAAAGGAAGATAATTTAAATATTCAGCTGTATTGCTAAATGATAAAAATCACACATGTAGTTTATGATACAATTCTGAAATCTCCAAAAGAGAAAAACAAGATAAAGCAAAAGGATGACTGATTTACCATAAAACTGGTGTGCTCAAAGGTTGATCATATGTGT